TTGCGCCCACCCCGCCGACTGACACGTCGACGCCCAACGGAACAAACCCCGATGGAGACGTCGAGATGGTCAATGCTTCCAGCTCTGAAACCCCGACGACAGCGAGCAGCGCAAAGTCCGTCAGCAGAGTGGAGGCCGAGGTTGCGAGGCTGGCAAACATCATCCTGTTCCCCGACCGATATGACTTTTACATGCCGGCTACAAAGAGGAGAGCCTCAATGTCCAAGGCGCGGGAGGAGTACGGCGGGCGGAAACGCAGCAGAACGGGGACGACCAGCAGCAGCACAGATTCACGACCGTCATCAAAACAAGAAGACAAGGGGAAAGAGAAAGACACGGCGGAAGAGATTAGTAGTAAGAGTTGACGGTTAACCGTCCTGGGATAGCGTTTATTCAGGGTGAGGATGAATTTGATCGTCCTAGGATGGGAAAACACACACGCATATATATACTGAAAGAACATAACAAAGCGGGAAGAGGAGGAAGGAGGAGCACGAAGACATGGGAACACAAGGAATCCTAAAATTTCTTTTTTTCTCCTGTTCTTTTGCTTCGATACATTTTTTAAGGGGCTAGGGAGTGCAAATCATAGAGGAGAAGAACATACCCCTTTGCGTTATTCGCTTGCGGTTTTGGTTTTTTTTGGGAGGGGTTTGCAAAGATTAACATTTATTTTTTATCGGAGTAGTTTGATCATTTTTTTCTTGGATAAGGTGATAATACCAGTTTGGTATATTTTTTGGCTTTGGGTTTTCGGAGGAGCGGAAACAGGCAAGAGGCAGGAATAGTGGTGCGAGCTGGCCTGAAGATGGTGGATTTTCTTGGTTATTTATTTACACTTTTTTTTGTGGCATATAGCTTTTCTTGTTGTATCTTTGTTTAGCTTGTTGAGGCATATTTTAGCTAGGTAGTACGGGTTTGGGAGCCAGCCAGTTTAAAACTAGGCAGACCCTGGGGAGTTGAATGTGAAGATTATTTTTGGGAATTTCTTCTTTTTTTTCTTGTTTTGTGACTGAACCATAGACCTCCTCAAACATACAGACTGGTCAGTTACTTGTCGTCTGTTGTTTGGGTGGTATGTGCTGTACTTGCACGCATGGCTTCTTTTTGCTGCATTTCTCTTCGACGGTTTTTGAATTACGGCAATGACGCCTCTCTTAGCTCTCGAAGAACTTGCCACCGTCCCCGAAAGAAGGTTTACCTACCTAGGAATGCTGGAAAGCCATCACCCCCCCCAAAACGTCTCTCCTGGAGAAGCCCGAGTCTCTCAGAGATAACCCTAGTTTTATCAAACCCAACAAAGCAACAGAGGCGCTCCCCTAACCCACGGCGTGCTCTGTAGGTCAGGAAAGTTCATGCCCAGCGCCTTCCACCAAACCATCACGTTTGGCCTCGCTCTCCTCCTAAACCATTTCTTTTTTTAAAAAAAATAAAATAAAATAAAATAAAATAAATAAACAATAATGATAGATACGTTCCATCAAATTGTTCTTGATTTCATAGGCACCGCTACCCCTTGTCCACACTCAGCGTATGGGGGGGTCTCCTGGAAACCCTGCCCGCCGCCAAGTTGAACCTGCTCTCCCCATTTCAACGGCTTTGGTAGGGAGGTAACTTTGTTACTTTGATACCAAGGATAGATATATAAGTGAGTTTCAGCCTCTGGAAATGACAGAAACCTGTCCTGAATAACCGATGATTTTTGCCGCCTCTTGGGGGAGGCTTCAACAACAGGGGGGGGGGGGTGTTGCCCCACCGGAAGGCTTTCTTCCTTGTCCCATTCATTACAGGTGCGGTGTCCTTTCTGCATGTACATACATACATAGCCGGCCGGAACAGGGAAAAAGCCTCACCTGATTTCCTTTTCTACCTGTACATACACAAGCGCAATTTTTTTTGTGTCACAGTATGTCGCCGAGTGGCCTTGGTGTTTTCTTGGGGGCATTGCGGCTGAACATGCACGCCATGTGTCGACTTCTTTTTCGCAGTGTTTTGGACTCTTTTTGAGCGACCAAACTGTTTAGGTTTGGCCTCGCATTGGATGCCAGATTTGATGGTTGCCCATGTATAAGACACCTACCGTATCTTAATCACAACAACACCTCTCCGATTCCCATTTTTGGACATTTGAGTGGGACAAGTTTCTCATCATCCGCAAAACTCAAAACAAAGCTTCCATCATGGCAGAGCCGAACCCCTCCGAGGCTCAACCCGACCCCGACTCGGATGATGGACCGCAATCAAACCCAAATGTCAAATCATTTGTCGCGGCTCTAGTGTGGTTATCTGCTGCGCAGAGTCCTTTGCGAGCCCATGAGCTCTGGATGGCAACCCAGTTCCAGATATCGGGTTCTTCGGAATGGATGATGGAGCAACTGGGGATCCAGGATCAGCATATGGATGACCGAGCTGCGTTCTCAGCCCTGCAGGAGTTGCTGGGAGACTTGATCAGCGAGCATCAGGATGGCACCGATCCCAGAATTATCTATGTCGAGTTCGCCGATCCGGATATGCGCCATCGCGTCTGCAAGCCTGAAGGGGGAGACACCCAAGATCAAACACAGCTGCTGTCGATTTCGGTAGCCAAGTCGCATTACCTTGTCACGGTGATTCTTATGGGCATCTGCTCCGCCACGCCCATCCATCTGGCTCGAATTCACCGCGATACAGCCACCACATACCTCATCCTCTACGCGTGGGCGCATTGGGCCACGCACTTCAAGCTCTCCGGGGAAACCCTGAAGAACGAAACTCTTGGGCCTATTGCTGACTACATCATTAAAACCACCTGCATGGACGTCTTGGCTTTCCTGCTGGCTTTGAATGACTTTCTCACCGGGCCCATCACCCTCTCCGTCATCCAGGACCAAACCCGCTGTGTCGCACTAGTTAGGGAGGCACAGGAAGCATTGGAGGGTCCGGCTGAGTTGCTGTCGGCTCTGTACAACACAACCGAGTATGCAAAGTCTCTGGAAGCCAGCAGGGAGATCTTCGAGGCATCCAAGCATTCGAGGCGGGGGAAGCCCAACACACATGTTCCACCGCCTCAGCTACGTCAAGACAAAGGTGACGCCACTGACGCAGGCTCAGAAGCCCAACAGAGCGCGCCTGCTGTCGACCGTTACCTGTTTCACACGCTCTCACTGTTTGACGCGAAATCAGCACAAATCATACGTCAGCTCGTCGATGCAGCTCGCGGACTGCGTTCTCTCTGCACCGCAATCGTCAAAAGCCCGCTCTACGAGGAGTTCCTGAAGGAATATGCCGAAGGCTTCTCGCCTCTCGATATTCTTACAAAATCCGCCGACATGCTCGAGACGTTGGGTACCTATGCATACTGGGGTGAGCTCCCTTCGAACTCGGGCTCGTCATGGGACGAGCCGCCTACCTCTGGGAAGACGCCTAGCCGGCTCGGGCTGGCAACCACCGAAAGGCCAAAAACCTCCGATGCCGATTTCCTCGTCAGCAACCTCCTCAGAAGTCACAACCACCCTCATCAACCGCTCAAAAGAGACGCCGGCGCTGACCCGTTTCTCTCCTCACCCCTCACGGCACTCTCATCCATACCGTCTGCCAAAACCACGTCTCCCCTCCGCTACCGCGCCGCCGAAATGGTCTACAAGCTCCGCGGCCTCTCCACCTCCTCGCGGCTCGGCGCGCAGTTCACCATCAACCCGGTGCGCCCGCCCCAGCTGGCCCGGACCTCCTCCGCCCTCTCATCCCTCCCTCCCGCCCTGACCTCGAGCAGCGGCATCGGCCCGCTCCCCGCGGCGTTCTACACCAAACTCGCTCCCAAACTCGCCCGGCTCTTTTTCGCCTTGTCCCCGCTCTTCGCAGGGCTCGACAACTTCTCGGCGGGCATGTTCACGGCCGGGCAGCCGGACTCCTGGCCCCTGATCAAGCAGTCGATCCTGTCGAGGGGCTACCGGACGGCATTCGCATACTTCCTCGTTGCCATCATCCTGCACCACGTCCGGGGCGTGCTGTTCCCCTGGCTGGGGCAGTACGTCTGGTACCGCCCGCTCGAGGACCTCCGCCTGGCCGTCACGAACCCGGACGCGTTCGTGCAGGTCATGTTTGGCTTCAGGTGGAAGTGGGTGCTGGCCAGCCTGGCGCAGAAGCTCGCGTGGGACGCCGTCAACGGCGCCGCCATGGCTTTGATGGTCGCATGGGAGAAGGACCACAGCTTACCGCCCCGGCCGGACGGGACCCCGACGGAGCCGGCCGTGTTCAAGCAGGACGCCGCCGCGTGGTGGGGCAAGGCCATGGACGCGTGCAGGGTCGAGTGCATCGTCTGGGCCTTGGCGCTGGTCGAGTTCTTCTTCTCAAAGAGCGTGTACGCCTTCGCCTGGCTGCTGGCCCTCGCGAAGCTGGCGATGGGCGGCGACGCCGAGCATATCGTCCTGGGCAACGCGCTCAGGGACAACTGGCTAAAGGTGCCATTTGTGCTCCACCAGACCCTGGGGTTCGCAAAGGGCTCGCTGTGGCCGATCGCCTGGGTCAGCGTGGTCTGCGCGCTCGTCGGGCAGCCCGGGCTGCTGCTGGTCTGGAGCGCCGCGGTCGGCGGCGTGTGGGCCATCATCAAGCACCGGAGCACGTTTTACATGGCCCTGCAGCTGAGCGGCATGTTCGTCGCCGGCGGGCTCTTGCTGATAACGGTTGCGATGCTGGCGGTCGAGTTTTGGGACGACCCGCTGGGCGTCAAGCTGAGCACCGCCCTGGCCAGGAGGAGGGCGGACAGGATACGCCGGGTGCTTCCTGGCGATTATTATCAGGTGAGGACCGAGATTTTGGAGTGGAAGAAGAACAGGAGCAGCAAGGCCGTTCCTGTTGTTGTTGGCGGACCTCCGCCGTCCGCCAGTTGTGCGGGCGAGAGTTCAGGTTCAGGATCAATGGAGGAAAAGAGGGACTGATGGCAGGATGTTAAGGGTGCTGAGGGGCTCTTCGTAATAAAGAAACAACATAAGTAGAATTATCATATGAGTATAAAAATATCTTCAGGCGAAGTGGCCGAGTGGTTAAGGCGCTGTGTTTAGGAAGCTTATTCCTTCCAAAAACCGCAGTGGGAAACCTCGCGAGTTCGAATCTCGTCTTCGTCATCTTCTTTTTTTGCGGACTTTGACACCTTTTTGTTTCATCAAACGCTGTATATGTGATTTTAGTAGCAGTTATAATTTTTTTTTTTTTCATGACCTACTTACAGATGGGTGCTTGGAAAAATATCAGAGTTACATCGGGGGCATATCATTGGTACTCGGGGTAGCATTATGTGCAAGCAGCCGGCTATTTAACTCACTTCAAACAAAAACACAAATCAATAACGGAAAATTAGAAAGCTGTGATGTCCCATCTCTTGTATCATTCTAGGCATCCCCATAGTTTTGGGGTGGTTGATTCACCTTTGATGTGGTTCAAACAGCCGCAAAAGGTGACGAGAGAAATAAGGGGGGGAGGGGGTTGGTGACCTTCCTTTGGAGATTTAGTTTCCCATTCTGTGAACCGGTCGAGGTATTGCTGCCTTCATCAAGGCAATTTGCCATTGATCAAAAACCGGATCATGAAATACCAAAAAGCGTGATTCGTCGCCCATAAAAATAAAATAACATCTTGTGTAATGAAGCTATCTGTATGATGATAACCACGCTTCGTTGGAGCTCGGTTGTAGGATGTCACGGCGATTGGGGAGAGAATAGAGGGACGAGCAAAGCTGGACTGTGGAAATCTGGGATGGAGGGAGGGATCGGTTGTTTCAAGTTTTTTTTCTTCTTTTTTTCTTGTTGCTAAAGAGGATTGATAAAAGTATTGAAGATTTTTCAAGTGTGACATTTTTGGGTAGTTACGTAAGTAATAGTGAACCCAGGCTGGTGCAGTTTGAATTTACGTCATTTATAGGTGATCTGGTCAAATGGGGAGATCTCACAGGCATATTAGCAACAACATATACGCACATTGAATATTGAAACGATGTATTTGAAAGAAATTCAATTCGGGACTTTTTTTTTTTTTTTTTCTCTCTAAAATCAATAAAGCTGTCAAATCAGTTTTACAGTACGGCCTCTCCTTAAGAATACTAAAGAATAACTGAGAGCTTGTTACTCATCCTCAAGTCTCTCTGCCTCTCTCCCAGTCAGCAGTCTTTTCCTATCCACCAAGTACTGCGAAGGAAACCGCTGATGAAAGGTATCGACGTGAGAAAGATTGCCCCAATCGTCCGCCGCAACCCAGCGCGGGTGTCCTTGGTCAATCTTGACCAGCACGGGACCGATTTGGCGAGGCTTGGACTCGTCAAGACCGGTCACTGGCAAGAAAATAGCCATGTCAACATAGTTCGCGGCTAGAGCAACACCCGTTCCGCCGCTTCCGTGAACCTGTAATGTCAAACGGAAGCCGGTCAGCATTTCGAGAAAGTGCCGAGTGTGAGACTGCACGGTCGCCTCCGAGGCGAACTGGCCCGTGCCGGCGACGGAGAGCTTGGTGACGCGGGCCAGCGCGCCCTCGTACGGGCTGCCCCTGACATAAGACCTCCACCGTCCAACAAACTCGTCTCCGTACGGAATGCGGAGGTGAAATATGTCCTTTTCAAAGTTTACACGGTGAACTGGGACGCGGTAAAAGTTGAGCTCGACTGGGTGGTCGATGAAGAACCTGTCCTGGTGCCAGTGCTTCTCGTAGACAAACCGCGCGAATCGACAGATGGACGACGCGAGAACCTGGAGGGGCGGAGCGTGGTTGACCAGCGCGAGCGGCCAGGTAGGGTGTCCGGACTGAAACCGCACATCTACGAGTATTATTTGCCGCTGGTTGAAGATGTTCTCCATGATCAAGAGCTGGAGCTCGATTGGGAGCTCTGCGATGCTGCGCCGTGTAGTGTCAGCAATCACCATCACCGGATAATCCGTCGGCAGGGGATCGGTTCTACGCCCACCGTGACTCACCTCCTGGTTTGAGATGATATTCCAGTCCGCCATTTTTCTGCTCTAAGAGCTTTCAGATAGCTTGATTTCGGTGAAAATCTATGAATAGACCAAGAAAAAGTTCGGTCAGCTTTGAGGCACATACGGTGTTGATATTTATACAAATTTATGCAACTTATGAACAACCGCATTTCAAAGAACATAAAACCATGTGCATGAATGGAAGAAGAAATTGTGCACAACACATAATTATACTGTGTGCAAGGACAAAGAATTGTGTTTCGCGCATAACTCGGTTGTCCAACTGCTGGATGCTTTTGTTCTAGTCGAGGGAAGGGGGGATTGTTTTGATCACAATGTTTTTGTCTGGCGTAAAAGAATCATAACAGAGCCAAATTGTTTACTACCCCCCGGTGCACATATGTAGGTATAAATATCATCATAAAATAACTGCTCACAACTTTACTTCCGAAACTGGCAGATCCCAAAAAGTTAACCAACGCAATAACAATTAAACTACGAATCATGATGGCGGCTCGCAAGTTTGCTTCACTGCCCGAGGACTGTCCCGTGATTCAAGCCGCGGACAGCACCAGGCCTAGCATCGCGGATCTCCCACTCGAGATCCAGCTGATCATCATGGAGATGATCTTTGACCAGCCGCAGATTGTCATTGTCGATGTTTCCGTCGCGCGGACCGGCGGCGGCAGCGCCCACGAGTTTGCTCTGACCCCTCGGCCCCCGCCGCTCCAGGTGCTGGCGAATTCCATTTGCAGGTTCACCCGCGTGCTCTACCGGACCCAGTGGCACCGTGACCGGTTTCCTTTTTCTTGTCCTCTGCCAAGTTCAACCGAGTCCCGGCCGGGGTTGATCACTTGTTACCCCTACTGGGTCGACTTGGGCCGAGACGTCACGTTTCTCCGCATCCTGGACCCCAGGAGCTTTGCTGCCCAATGGCACACCAGACAGCTTGATGCTTCCATCGCTAACATCCAGGGAGGTAGTGCCTCGTGCCCCTTTGAAAAGGCTCTGGCTGGCGTAGGCCGCATAGCGGTTGACGGCTCCGGCGATTTTGCCGCGTGGCAAAGAATCAGGGATACAATCGAGCATTTCATCAGCTGGGTCACGGGCGGTCAGTGCGAGAGGATCATCTTCCAGCCTGTCATGGGCCTGGAGAGCCCGCCGAACCCCTCACGCACTGGGATTCTGGTGGGTGGGCCTCTTCAGCTGGGTGCGGTGCAGGTTCCCCTTGAACCGGGTGACGACAGATATGTCATCTTTGCTGATCCGGCCAGTCCATGGGGCAATATCAAACAGTTACTGGTCGATGCAAGAAGGCTCATGTCGCCAAGGCAGCTGAGAAACTTTGAGCATTAAGAGTAAGTAGTAGGTAGGTAATCTGGAGAAACCGGGCCGGCCCCAAAAAAACCTCAAGTAGATTGCAATACAAAAACAAACTGGTTGTTTTTTTTTTTTCTCAAAATAGATAAACAAATACAACGATCGTTGATCAGGTAAACAGACAAGTAAAATGAACAGAAAGCCTCCAGAATTCAAGGAAGTAGGTATCATATGACAAAATGCAAAAAAAAAGAGGAAAGAAAACCACCCAAAATAAAAGAGAAAAAAAAAAAAAAAGGAAATAAAACAAAAAGCCTGCGCTAAAACGATTGTGCCTCCGACACACCGGTTCCCATCCCACCCTCCCTTGCGCCAACGTCCCGTGATATCATAAAAAAAACATTTCTCTCATCGCTATCTATAAGGTATCCTCAACAAAAAAGAAAGAAAAATAAAATATAAAATGCAAAAAGAAGAAAAGATCGTAAGACCCCAAGTCACATGATTTTCATTAAAGGAAGAGACAAAAAAAAAAAAAAAAGAAGGGTATAACATGAAAATTTTAATAATGATTAGACCTGATGAAAAACAAGGTGTTGGGTGTGGAGTGGTGTCATGGCCATGGTCATGGTCACACGGTCTGCTGGAGTCTCTTGCCCATGAACTCGTCCAGGAAATCCATGCTGGCGTTCAAATCAGAGGCGAGCAGCGACTTTCCAGCCGTCATTGGCAGCCTCTCTGGCGCGGGCTGGGAAAGGTAGGACTTGGCCCTGGTACGATGAGCAGATCGGAATACCTGTTTTGAGGGAAAAAAAAAAGAACTCATTGTTAGCAACCGATGACTCCTTCCCAACCACTCTCTATTTTTGATTATGTAAAAATAAAATAAAAGAAATTTAGATAGGTATGTATGTACTTACCCTCAGCCGCTTAATAATCTCGCCCATCTCCTTGGCGATCTCCCCCTCGACGCCGCCCGCCATCTCACCCCCCTTCAGCTGGCGCCTGAAGCAGTGCCTGGAGAGGCTGTCGCAAAATGCCCTCTGCAGGCCCGGGACGTTCCTGTCGGCCACTTCCCTCGTCAGGTAGGGCTCGAGGCCCAGGAAGGCGTCCAGGGCCTGGAACAGCAGCACCTGGTTGCCGCTCAGCCCGTCGAACCGGATCTTCTCCTGGCTCTCGACGTCGACCTCGTCGCCCGTCATGCCCCAGGCGTAGAAGCCCTGGACCCGGCTCAGCCAGACGTCCCTCCCGATCTTCTTGTCGTGGACCCTGTCGTAGTAGGCGCCGAGCAGCGGCCTGAGCTGGCTGGTGACCTCCCTGACGTGCCCCAGGCAGGCCGCCTTTTCGCCGCGGGCCCACGAGATGATGGCCCTGACCATGGCGTGGTAGATGGGCACTGCCAGGCTTTCAATCTCGACAAAGATGCGCGAAAACTCCTCCTCGGACGAGGTGATGCGTTGGGAGAGGCCCGAGTTGATCTTGTAAACGTACTCCCCGGACGGCGAGAAGTTGAGGACCAGGTTGGACATGTTGTTACCCGAGTCCGAGGCGAGGCAGAAGTGCGACTGCATCCTGTTCCAGGGCACGACGAGCTGGGCCGGGAGCGGGAGTGAGGTCTCCAGCTGGGCTATGGCTACGACGGGGACTGAGGCCCACCTGTTGTCATTTTTTTGTGGGTTAGAAATGAGTGGGATGATAGGAGGAGAGAAAAGGGGGGAGGCGAAGTAAGGTGCGTACCTGTAAGCATGCCTGCACCAAGCTACGCAAGCGTAGAATGCGTTATAAGTGTCACGGGGGAAAACGTCCCACCGGCCGGCATCGGCGGCCGCGAGCAGCTGGTTGAC